ATAAAACAACATGTGTACTACTGTTTCATGAGAAACTATTTGTTCTGTAAGCCTTCACCTGAAGTACAATTAAAAAAAAAAAAATGGGTTTACACATATAAGTCCTTTCAGAGACGCCAGCCCATCCTTCACCCCAGTCACAAGCCCCAGGAGCCTAGAGCCCCAGCCAGCTGATATGCATCAGTATCTACATGCACACATGTACACTCAGGCCATGTTCCCAGAAGCCAGGTTGGATCCAGTGGCCCCCCCACCTGTTGTTCTGCTTCCTGGGATGGATCCAACGAGCCACCCTCCCACGCATACACTCCCATCTGAGGGCAGGGAAGTAAATGTTTCCTGCAGAATAGGCCCCAATTTTGACCCTCAACCCCAGTCTGAAGAGAGGGGAACTGTCAACCAGACAGAAGCAGAGATCCTAAGAGGGACATGGCCAGACACTCAACCAGAGCCACTGTCAGAGATACCAACAAAACAAAACAAAACCCGTTGCCGTAGAGTTGATTCCGACTCATAGTGACCCTATCCAACAGAGTAGAACTGCCCCATAGGGTTTCCACGGAGTCGCTGGTGGATTTGAACTGCCGACCTTTAGGTTAGTAGCCAAATGCTTAACCACTGCGGCACCAGGTCTCCATCAGAGATACAGACACTTAGAAAAGAAACTGGACAGAGACACTGCGCTAAACAACAACACAGAATTCCAAAGAAACAGCTCCAGTCCTCTATCTTTCTATATAATGGAGACACTGGGAGAGCCACTACCAGACAAAGCCAGAGAAACGGGTAGACACAACCAGAGACAGAGAAACGGTCAGAGGACAGCTGAGCACCACCAGAGAACCTGTCAGAAACACTTAGAAGATTTGGCCAGGCACAACCAGACACACCACCAGAGAAAACAAGAAGCACAGCCAGAGAAACCATCAGAGATGTAGCCAGACAGCTGGAGACATTGTTAGAAACATTGCCAGAGAAACTATCACACAGCCAGAGAAACTGTCAGACATACAAGCAGAGAAATACCAGAGAAGCTGGTAGACACACACAGGCAGACACCCAGAAAAACAGCTAGAGAAATAGCCAGAGACACAGCCAGATGCTCAGTCAGGAAGGATCTGTACTAAGAACACTGCCAGAGACACTGTCAGACACACAGACACACTACCAGAGACACCATCAGACAGACAGACAGACAGACAGACACACTGCCAGAGAAACTGTCAGGCACACAGCCAAAGACACCATCAGAAATATTGCCAGAGAAACAGCCAGACACACAGCCAGAGAACCTGACAGAAACATTATGCCAGATACATCCAGAGAAACAGCTAGAGACACTGCAGACATAACTTTAGCAGAGGGGAGAGAAATGTGGGTGTCAGAGCCTATAGCAGCTGGCGTTTTCTGGATCCTGAGGGGCAGGGTGGTGGATGGAGAGAATCTGACTTCTCAGGCTCTTTTCTGGGAGAGGGATCCTGCCCACCCTGTGCCTACACCTGGCCCTCACCAGGCAGGTCCCCTCATCTGAACCTGGTTTCCCTCCAGCCATAGCTGCAGGTGCTCTGCTTGCCCTTCCTGGCACAACTCCTCTCTCTGTTCCCCCTCTGGCCTCGGCTACTCCTCCCATATCAGCGACTCCTG